TGGCCTATTACACCTGAACCTCAGAAAGGCGGGCAGGGCCAGGTAAATGAGCAAGCATCACTTAGCCAGTTAGAGCTGGGGAGATAGCTCAGCAGCGTAAGTGCCTGCCTGGCAAGGCCAAGGTCCTGAGTTTGATCCTAGATACCAAAAAAAAAAAAAAAAAAAAAAGCCAAAAGCCCCTGTGAGAATTAGGTATGAAACCTGTATCACTCAGTTAATGGTAGCTCTCACCATAGTGCATTTGTGGTCAAGTTTCGGAATCCAAGCTTTGTTCTTTATTGGTAACATTTTCACCATTTATTGAAGCCTCAGCTTCCAGTCTAGTCTATAATTTGCTAGTGAATGTGAACACAATTTGTTTCAGATCATATATGGATTTGCCCAATAGTAGGGCAGGAATTATCTATAAAGCCCTTAAAATATGTCAAGTGCTATCCCCAATTCTAGGGATGTAAGGGTGACTAAAGCATGCTGTCTTTCCAGGAATGCGCTGACTAAATAGGTACTCAGAAGGACTGAGATTTTCATTCTTTATGGGAGATTCTTCAGCGGGTCCGGGGCTCCACGGGCAGCGCAGGGGGGTGTACTCGTCATCCCTGGCACTGAACTGGATGAGTAGTCAAAACTCCCCTCTGCCTTCCATATCAGGATCCTGTCAAGGAAATAAACAAAAGATATCAAAGTGGAAATTCTGCACCGTTCTGACCTTGCCACTCATGCTATTTGAGAAGGTGGTGTAGTCCCCGTTGCCACCAGTTCCCCTCTGCTTCTGGCCAGACAGTCCTGGAGCTGCCTGAGGCTGGTGGAGCGGAGCTGCTGTCACTACTCACCGCTGCCCCATTTTACTTGGGGCACAATCAAAGCCAGAACCTACACAGCTGCACGGCACGCCCTCTGCCCTGAGCTCTAGAGCCTCCGCACTTCACTCTAGGGAGAGACCACTAAGATGCTAAGCTGGCATTAAGGAATGGCCACACGTGTTTCTTTCATTTTGGTTCTTTTCCTTTTGTCTTTCTGGTAAACCAAAAAATAACTGAGTACTGGTGACTCAGTACTGTCTCTAGGGCATTCTGGTTATGTTGCTTCCATCCTCTGGTTTCAGGTTGGTGCCTTTGCATTGGAGGTCCCAGCCCAGCACTGTCGGGGTCCCAGCCTGCCTGTTCTGAATCTTTCAGCAAAATCAATCCTAGTAACACTTATGTGAGGAGTGTCAGGCTCACGCTCTGGTCTCATTTGCAAATAAGAAAGTCAGTATTGCTGTGCCTGTTTTCACTCATACAGAAGATTTAATTCCTCTTTTAAGCCCTCCCAAGAAGAAATAGCTCTTGAATTAAACCTGTGGTCATTCTTCAGTGAATCTTACAAGTGAAGACTGTTTCCTCGTGGCCTGCAGCCACCTCGCTGATGTATTTCCCGAGCGTCACAGCCCCATAATCTCATACGCCATCCTTGCAGCATCGTGTCTCCAGCTGACCCATCACTGCTGATCAGAACCCCGCACGCAGAACGTGGGAATCTGGGGCAGTTATCTGGATGACTTAGGCCTGCCGCTCTTTTTCCTGAAAAATATGCAGGATTTGAAGCCCTGTGTAGGGGCCCATTCTCATCACATAATGCCTCCTTGATAACCTGCAGGCCTCACAGTCAGCCAGCCTTCGTTTTATCTTCTGTAAGATAAAAGTCTTGGCACAGTGTTCAGGTTATCAGCTGTTCTGCAACAAGCCACCCCAAACCTAGGTCCTACAATGTTACAGAGGCAGGGATTTGGGAACAGCTGAGCTCGGCGTTTGTTTCTGATCGCAGACCAGAGAATGCCTTCCAAGGTGGCTTCACACACACGTGTCTTGCCTGCTTGCTCCAGGGTCTGTCTCTACGGCATCTCTGTCCCCAAGGCCTTCTCATGCCCCTGGCATGTCTCTGTGAGGTCTCCTAAGAGTGGTCATATGTTTCGCCACAGCAGCTAGCTTCCAAGAGTCAACAGTTGCCAGGCCAGGAAGGAATTACGCCTTGTCCTGACACAGTGTCACTCTACTATGTCTTATCATTGAAAGCCGTTACAAAACTCAAGGGTAAAAAAAGGCAGAGTCCGGCTCGTGGTGAGGGAAGGGCAAAGTGACACTGCAGATGAGACGACTATGGGATGTGCCCACGAATACCTGGTGGGCTCCCAGGGTCAGGGGAAAGATGAGTGTGTGTATGTGGTCATTGCGGCGCACCCCTGTAATCCCAGCGCTGGAGAGGATGAAACAGGAGGATCACTGTGAGTCCAAGCTGCATAGTGAGACCCTGTACCAAATACATAAAAAAAAAAGATATGCAGCACACAAGTCACAATTGTACTGTTTTGTAAATTCCATGTCGCAATTGGTTCAGATGCTTTCACTGGTTTTTGCCAAACTCTTAGATCAGTTACCAACCTACTGTCTCCAATAAAGACGGCCTTATTTGCACTTCGCTCCTCCAGTGGCAAATTCTTGCACTCCTGTAGATGTGCCATAACCAAAAGTGAAAGGATTCTTAGTCACAGCACAAACCAAAATGCTTTGTTTTTCAAAAGCCTTATAATAGCTGGGCATGGTGGTGCATGCCTGCAATCCCAGCACTGTAGCAGGCTGAGAGGGGAAAATCTTAATTTCTAGCCCAGCCTGGGCAAGGTAGTAATTTAGTCAGATCCATCTCAAAAAAAAAAGTACTGGGATCTGGAATGTAGCGCAGTGTGAAGGCCCTGGGTTCAATCCCAGGAGGCGCACAAACATGAAAAGCATTTTATTGATGACTTGACATTATGCCAAACACTTTTCAATAAACCTTTAATCCAATACTCATAATATTTTGAGAAATTGCTATCCTCATTATCTAGGGGGAATATAGTCAGCTTTCTGTCCCTGCAACAAAATCATCTAATGCAGTTAATGTAAAAAGATGAAGAGTCTGTTTTAGCTGATGGTTCAAGATCAAGTGGCCCCTAACTGCGGACCTCTAGGGGGCCCTCAGGTGGCAATGGAGGTAGTGTGCTGAGCCGCACACCACTTAGTATGAGCCAGAAAAGCAAAGATCAACCCAGGGTCCCCAGCCCCCTTTGGGGACAATGCTCAGTGACCGAAAGGCTAGTAAGACCCCCCCTTCCTAATGCTCCACTGCACCTCCCAATGGAGCCACCCTGGAGGATGAACCTTTGACGCCTGGGTCTTTGGGGAACAGGGATCTAAGCCAGAGCAATGGAAAAGTGGCTGGATTACAGAGTGATGGCTGGTGACAGGAAAGAGCCGCAGAGAGACCTTGGGGCCTTCTTCTGCCTTTGCCCTTCTCTAAAATTCATTGTTTTCCAACCACAAAGTGGGTTTCTTTTTTGTATCTCTCCAGGAAGCACTGTCTAGAATTTACATTGTCATTCCTTGTTTTGGTTGAAGAGTCCATTTTTCAAGAGCTTTTTAAAGCAAAACATTTATAGGAAAAACAAAATAAACACAAGCAAAACATTGAAGCCAAAAGCCACGTGACCTTGCCATTCTTTGTTAACAGTAGCTAAGGTTAATATTTCAATCTGTGTCTCAGCTTTTCATTCTGAATAGCATAAGCATCCCTTTGTACACTGAAATGGCCACAGCACAGCTTATGTGTTCTCTAAATGGTCGTGCATCCTATTTGTTATTTTCTTTGAGTTGCTTCAAGTGCTGGACTGAAGTTTTAAATTGTTTGTCTAAACTTTCAAAATAAAGTGGATAAATAGCAACTGCTTTCCCAGCAGCTCCATGGCAGCTAGTCAAAGCCAGCTTGTGGGCAGTACTAGATGCAGAACTTTCATAAGAACGTGATACCGTTTCTCACAACACCTCTTGCCTTGTGCTTTCTTGTGGTCATAAGTAGGGGACATTCTGTGTGACTCAGACCAGGCCCAAGGGTGGATCTGGCCAAGGCTGTCTTCCTTTTGGACACTTAAAAGAAATCTGTCCTGGTTTATGTTTGGCTGTACATGTTGACTGTCTTCCATACAAAACAACTTAGAATTTTTTTTTCAGGTTTTGAATTATTTATGATACATGGTGAACTGTCTCTTTTTTTTGTATTTTAGGGAAGGGTCTACAGGGTGTTCAGGGTCTCACTACTACATCAAACTGGTAGCAATCGCCTGTGTACAGCCTCCCAAGAGCTGGGATTACAGGCTCATGCCACCACGCCCAGTCTCTGAACTGTCTTGAGAGTGGGGCCCAAGTCTAGACACAGAACTCATTTATGTTCTGTATTTGTTCTGTATTAAGGACATATCCAGAAGATCATGTTTATACAGGAGCTTCAGCGCACCTGTATTTCATGAAAGTCACACAGGCTGGCATAGAATTTTCCACATATGGTATTCAGGTGGTATCAGATTTTGAAGAATTTCTAGTTTCAGATTAGAGGGCCATGATCTGCATGATGTAATATTTATTATACCTTTACCTGATAGATATTAGGAAGCCCTTTCTCTCTTCCAGACATTTGTTAAGACTGTCTGCTTCACTGATGTTGTATAGACTGTGACTTAGATTATAATTCTGACTTATCTATTTTCTCCTGATTAGGCAGCAATAAGGAAAGAACTAAATGAATTTAAAAGCACAGAAATGGAAGTTCACGAAGAGAGTCGACAGTTTACAAGGTAAGTAGTTCAACACTTTGAAAATGCTAAAGATGGTACATTTGGTGTTAGATCTGTTTTATCTCAATTTAATTTTCTTTTCAACATAACACAGCCATCAAATGAACATTTTTGCTTCTCCCACATTCATCCTTGTTTCCTCTTTCTGGTAACCTAGTGGTCAGTGTGGAAGGTTTAAAGATATAACTAGAGAGTGTTGTAAACTTTTAAGCCGTCGGATAAGCCCTGCTGTCTCTTGGAGGGACACTATCGCTAATCATGCTGAACAAGAATTTCTAAAACTAAGTCTTTTATTGTTGTTCAGAGAAGTCTTGAGTCATTTTTTTAGGCCTACATCTTGGCTCTCTTTTTAGCTGTATTTTCTGGGCCAAAAGACAAGTGACAGCATCACTTATTCTGCTTTGCAGCTGACTCTTAGAAGCTCCATGCCCGGAGCAGCTGCTGGTGGCAGCCAGCGTGGGCCCAGTGCCTGGCTTTGGGCTCACAGTAGATGTAACTTAGGATGACAACTGAATTTGTAGAAGATGGATCTTAGAATAGGAATCTGGTTTGTATCAGTGCGGCCGATCACAACTGTGTTAGTCAGCTTGTGTGTTACTGTAACAAACCCTGGGATAACCAACTTACAGAGAGAAACATTGGGGCTCACAGATGTGAAGGTCTTAGGCTGTGGTCAGCCAGATCTGCTGCTTTCAGCCGTGACAAGGGTACTCAACATGACAGTGGGATTGGCAAGACCGCCCACCTCATCCTAGGGAGTAGAGACAAGGGAGACCAGAGTTCCTTCCACGTTGTCTGTCTCCCCACTCTGAGATTTAAAGACCTACCACTAGGTAGTGTCCGCCCTCTCACTGGGCCAGGCTGGTGGCCATCAGGCACACTGAGGATCCAAGCCATACCAGTGATGAGCCTGCTATCTTTCCTTCCTGAACACTTCAGTTTCTCAGGCTACTAAGATCAAAAGGAGGCTGGCCAAATAGCTCAGCAGATTAAAGCACCTGCAAGCAGGCAAAGGGGCTGGGGGTTCGATCCTCCAGTCTGCCGTGCCAGCCCCACCCCTGGGGCGAGCTGAGACAGCAATTGAAACTGGGCATGGTGGCACGTGCCTGTAATCCCAGCACTTGGGAGGCTGTAAACAGGAGAATCACTACAAGTCTGAACTAGTAATGAGACCTTGGGCACCTGATAGACCCTTCCCTAAAATACCAAAAAAAAAAAAAAAAAAAAAGATCAAAAGGGGCCCAAGAGAGCGGCATCACAGGTGTCCTGGTTCTCTCTCTGTCTCTCTCTCACAGGTATATTCCTAAAAATTTGCATAGAAATCAAATCTTTAAAATTTGACTTCATTTAAAAAAATGTTTTCATGAAGAAGACTATGTTCTGACTTTCCAGAAAATAATCCCTAAGCTAGAAACAGGTTCTGTGAGGCAGGTGCACCTCGCAGTGCTCCTGGGCCCGTGTGGCCTCTGGTGGTGGTGTCCTGTGCTGGGGATTTCGTGACCTGGAAAGGAAGCAGCAGCAGGATGTCATTACTTAATAGCAACTCGGGGAATTTGTGTAGACCCTGGTTAAAGGCATGCTCCATAGCTCATCCTTGTGTGAAAGTCCGGTGTGGAGAAGGAACTCTATTTCTCCTGGACATCTTCCTCCTCCCTGTGTACTTTCTTCCTCATCCTGGCTGCTTGTACTTTCATTTTTTTTTTTTAATTTTATTTATTTATTTATTTGTGTGTGTGTGTGTGTGTGTGTGTGTGGCCAGCTCAGCCCACCAGGGGGCGGGGCTGACTGGCATGTGGTGCTGGGGATTGAACTGCGGTCCCTGTACTTTGCTCAACTTGTTCTAAGTAGGTGCTTTAGACCACTGAGCCATCTCACCAGCCCTACTTGTACTTTCAAATAGGGCTCCTCCTTCCTGCGTGTGCAGTTTTCCTCCACAGAGTACCTTCTCCTGTCCTCTGCCGTTGGCAAGCCAGATTCACCTCTCCCTGCCGCTTCTGGGGTGAGGAAAAGAACAGGCTAAAATGTGATGCCTGTGGATGCATTTTTGCAGTAAAGTTCATCATGAAACAGAGGCAGGATATTTATGGTGGCAGGGCACTGGCTGGAGCCTCTGGGTGGCCGGCGAGTGGCCTGTGTCTGAGGGGCTGAGTCTGCGCCCCTGAGCTGCAGCACCGCTTCAGCTCCTGCATAGATTTCCTAGAAATCATCGTGTCTGATCTGATAATGACAAGACTGAATAAACAACAGCAGAAAGTAAGCAAATAGAAACAATTGCTTTTTAGGTATGTCATAATTTATGAAAAGCAAATACAGTGAAAGAGGTTTTGTTCTTGCTCTTTGAAGAAAGACAACAAAATTAAGGAGCAGGGAGAAGACAGGTCCCTTTTTTTAAAAAAATCATTTATTTATTTATTTATTTGGTACAGGGTCACACTACAGAGCTCAGACTCATAGTGATCCTCCTGGCTCAGCCTCCCCAGTGCTGAGATTACAGGCATGCACCACTATGCCCAATTTCAGTGGCTGGCACAGTATGGGGCCTGTGCAGTACACAGTGCCAGGGATCAAACCCTGGTCCTTGCACTTGCCAGGCAGATGCTTAGACCGCCGAGCTATCTCCCCAGCCCCTTTTTTATATATGTCTTTTTTTGTATATGTCTTTTTTATATATAGAAGTATGTATTTCATTTAAGTATTCAGACAATACAAAAGTTTATTAAAATGAACCCCCTTTACTCTTTCCCAACCTAATTTCTACTCTCACAAGTAAACACTGGTAAAAGTGTGTGGCTGATCCTTCTAGAGAGCTTTCTATGTATGTACTAACATGTATGCACGTAGTACTGCATGTGTACGCATGTTTCTGGGCTCTGTCTCACCCAAAGCCTTCCTGCTGGCATCTACCTCACCCACTGGAATGACTTTGCAGCATCCCATCGGAGCCCGGATGTTAGCAGAGCTTCAGCTTTCACTACCAGAGCACCACTGTGCACGTATCCTGGCGTATTGATGCCATTCTTTAAGGTGTTTGCTGGGTCACTAGATAGTTGTGTTACACTTTGAAAGAAAATACTCAATTATTGTCCCAAAGAGCCCTTACTTACTGAGCTGTCACTGACACCCCTCACCCGGCAGCATCTGGGGGTGGGGAGTGGTCAAGAGACTTATATTCTGTAGGATAAACTTTAATAACCTGTTTCACTGGTTTCTGTGAGGTTGGATATCTTATATTACTGACCATTTAGTTTTGTTCTTTGATTTGTGAATTCAAAACTTTTGACCAACTTTGTATTACTGGGGATTGAGTCCAGAGTCATGTGCATGCTAGGCAAGTGCTCTGTTATAGGGCTGCATCTCCAGCCCTTTTGTAAATTTTATTTGAGACTGGGTCTCTCTGTGTTGCTCTCGCTGGCATCAAACTCAAAATCTGCCTGCATCCGCCTCCCAAGTAGCTAGGATTACAAGCATGCACCACCACGCCTTCCTTAACTTGTCTTTTTTATATGGATTAGTGAAATCTCTTTACATATCCTATATATTAGTCCTTCATAACACATGGCATGATATTTAACTTTTTTAAGTGACCTTTTATTTAAATTTTTACATACTGAAATCTATTTTTATTTCATTGTTTTGTATCTTATAGAGAAAAGCACAGATTATAAAATATTAGCTTTTTTAAAAATATATATATATTTGGTACAGGGTCTCATGCAGCTCCAAACTGTAGTGATCCTCCTGTTTTCAGCCTCCGCAGTGCTGGAATTACAGGCCTGCACCACTGCACACTGTCTTGATGGCTAGCTTAGTGCACCCGAGGTGGAGTAGCATGCCATGTGGTGCTGGGAATCGAAGCCCAGCCCCTGCACTGGCCTAAGCAGGCACTTAGTCCACTGAGCTATCTTGCCAGCCCTAAAACTATTAGCTTTTATGTTTGCTTTTTTTTTATGTTTGCTTTTTTACACTTAAAAATTTAATTCATTGAACATTTATTTTTATATATGATTCAAGAGGGTAAACTAACTGGACGTAGTTGCACAAGCCTGTAATCCCAGTACTCCAAAGGTTTAGGTAGAGAACCCTAAATTCAGGCCAACCATATAGTGAGTTCAAGACCAGCCATATAGTGAGTTCAAGACCAGCCTTGTGGGGTCGGGGAGATGGCTCAGTAGCATAAGCGCTTGACTGGCAAACGCAAGGATCTGAGTTCAATCCCCGGTTCTGCAAAAAAAAAAAAAAAAAAAAACAGCCTGGACTATATAGAAAAATTCTATCTCAAAACAGTGTTTAAAATGCTGTGCACAGTGGCACACACCTGTAACCCTAGACTCTGGGAAGCCCACGCAAGAGTGTCACAAGTTCTAAAAGTGGGTGGTTTATCACTTTATGAAGACCCTGTCTCAAAATACTGAAATAAGGAAAAGTGCTTTGCACTGTGGTTCAGTGCAAAGGTTGTGGGTTCAACTCTAAAACTGTACAAATAAATAATTTTTAAAAGAGAGTAAACGAACTTAACCTTTTCTGAGTTAGCAGTCTATTGTCTTAAGGCTGTTTATTTCTTCCTGGATATGATTTTTTCTCACATATACACAAGTCAGTTCCTAGGTTCCTTGTTCACCCATCCCTGCCTGTATTACATGGTTTAGAGACAATTTGCAGTACGCTTTTATAGCTGATAGAATATTTTCCTCTTCAAAATTCAGTTGGCTTTTTTCTGTATTACTTAGAGAAATTTAGAATTGGTTTCTTGTGTTTCATGAAATAATCTGTTGATATTTTCATTGTTTAAGTAAATATTAGTAGGTACAAATAGATAAGCTTTGTGGAGATAACAGCTGATATTAAGGGTAAACTTGAAAAGATTTCCCAAAAAATATTGATTAACATCCTTTAAAATGTTTTTCCAGATAAGGAAAAATTAAATATTCATATAACCAAAATAAATACGCCTTGCTTAAGTACTGTTTAAATCTTGGCAGTAAAGCAGATGTCTATTGCTA